AACAACAAATGTGTCAGCCGCCTGTCAGCGTCAGTTACGCAGGATCCTTGAGAACAAATTATTACACTATCGCACAAAGACGAGACTTTTTCCTCCTTTTCCTCCGCCCTTAGCTGCTCGCTTCGCTCACCTAAATGCCAGAGAGCTTGCTCGCAGGCTATCAAGGCGAGGTTGGGTTCATAAATGAAAATGTGTGCCACTGGAGTGTGATGCGGGAGAGAGCCATAGTTGACACCTTGTGTAATTTTCTTTTCCAGGTTGATGCGCTGATGTCTATATTAACCAAGCTGAGAACTGAAGATCCCTCGGTGAAGAGCTTGGTCATTTCACAGTTCACCTCCATGCTCAACATACTAGAGACCCCTCTAAAAGCCCAAGGGTTCAACTTCGTCCGTCTCGATGGTAAAATGTCTCAGAAGCAGAGAGCGGAAGTGATTGAGTGGTTTAATGAGAAGAGCCCAGATTCCCCTACAGTAATGTTACTGTCAATGAAGGCAGGTGGAGTCGGATTGAACCTAACAGCCGCTTCCAGAGTGTTCCTTCTTGATCCTGTATGTAGATACACAATTGTTATCTTTTTTTATAAGAGAGGTGGAGGATATTCTATTTTTTTTAGTTTTGTCCGCAGTCAAATAAAGTTAAGAGGGAGTTTTAGCAACGACGCCGTCGACGGCAACGAGAACGTCAAAGCAGCAATAAGTTTATTAAGTAAAACAACAAGTTTGCACGTGCATCACGCTCTTTTGTACATTTCTTTGCCGTTACTGCACGACTACGACGTGAAAATGCCTAATTTCGCACTTTATGGAGAAGGCAAACAAGCGACGACGAAATGTTCTTTCTCCTTTTAAATTTGAGTGCGGTCCTCAATATACCACCTCCAAGGAAATTAGCCTACATTAGACATTTTCCGCGAACTGGAATAAACGCGACAAAGTTTGAAAAAACGCTAATTCATTTCAAAAGTGACGTTTTCACTGCCGTCGCCGTCGTCGATGCTAAAACTCACTAATTTCTCCAGAGTCAGAGCGAGCAAACGGGCCCTAAATTGTCCTGTTTTGACATCGCAGTCATGATAATTATTAGCATCGTCATCATTATAATCGTCATAAGCAGCGTCACCATCAACATCACGTAGCCTGAATTTCATCCGATTACTTCGAGTCGTTATTACTCCCTCAGTAACGTCTGAATCGACCAGCCGTTAATGTCGTCCAGTGACGTCACTACTCCTTGACCTTTGCTTTAATTCATGCAAAAAGCAAAACACGATTTTCAAATGTCTGAATGTTACAAAACTGCTTTATTTTTTTTCGATTGTAGTTCATGTTTAACGTTCAAACTATCAACTGCATGCGGTACAACTCTGAACCGGTTGTACTAAATTCTATAATCAAACTCGGTCGCAATCACGCATTGAAATAAACACACACACGGAACACTTAGTTCCAAAACACAATGATTTGCTTTAATTGAAAAGAAGCTATTTGGTCCTTGACGAAGAAAAAAACAAGGAGGCAAGAAAGAAAAGCTAACAGAATCATCACACTTGACGGTAAAAATAGTAAGAAGGTCGAATTATAACATTGATCTCAGAAAACTTCGCGTAAACAAAATCACCGGCCGCCGAAACCACAAAGCGGCTCTGAATGAAAACTCACCTACCGACTCTCCGTGATGATTCTTCATTCGCAGTTCAATTTAACATTTCAGTTTCGAAGACAAGGCAATTTTGCTGTTTAAGATAAAGATTAAGCATATAGAAATGTTTGAACTAACCGAAAGAATGCCAGGGATGCGATCCGCTGAATATCAAATGACAATCCCGCTAAAATTTTTCATAATTATACATAATTATGCGAATGTTTAGACATAGTTGGTTAGTTTTACACTACCCGGTTTTCGGGTAGTGAGTGACGTCACTGGACGGCATTAACGGCTGGTCGATTCAGACGTTGTTGAGAGGAGAAAACGACTCGAAGCAATCGGATGAATTTCAGGCTACAACATCACGTAGACAACAAGTAAACGCTAAAAGCTTTAAACCTCGCCAAGTGCAAACATCAAACCGGAGAAGTGTATCGGTATTTCCGCAAAACAAACAAAGAGTGATCAACGTCAACTTTCTTCAAACAACATCCATACATCATCAAGAGGAAAGGTTATGAGAATCAATAAGATGATCACCAAAGGGAAAAGGCTTTGATCTTTTATTAAATTCTCTCAACTAATTCTTACAGGAATTGATGGAGATCGGTCTTTGTGAATATTAGGGCTTAAAGGGTTTTAAAATTTGTTTGTCATTCTAGGCTTGGAATCCTGCAGCTGAGGATCAGTGTTTTGATAGATGCCACAGGTTGGGACAAACTAAGGATGTTATTATTACAAAGGTAGGGTTCCTGTGGCACAACTCCAACAATCGTATTATACTTACAAACATAACTTTTAGCATTTAGAATATTATATTTTGTTTTCAAATGCCTTGTTAGTTGTATATCGATGAATGTAAATGATGCTCTATCCTCGAACCCTTTTACTTTAATTTGCCCTGGCCTGCAGACTGACAGTATCTTGATTTTGCAGCGGGGCGTCCGCCCTCCTTTTTAAACATTAACAATCCCTTTTGTCGGTTTTTCACATCCAAGAAATCTCTGTTCGTACGAATCCATAATACTTGTAGCCCATCGTTTTATTTATACTTAAAATACTTTTGAAACAAGTTGATGGAGGGATTCCTTTAGGCGGAGCAAAACATAAGTTTCTTCTTCCTTGGAGTCTAAACATGAATTCAAGAGCCGCAATTTTCCTGCAAGTTCTCGCACAACAGTGTTGCGTTAAAAGACGAGTATACGTCTTTTTACCCACTTTTACTTTACTAGTTTGTTGTGAAAGACTCGGTGGAAGAGCGCATGCTCGAACTGCAGAAGACCAAGAGAGAACTGATGGCTGGAGCGTTCAAGACCAAGTCATCAGCGGAAGAGAGGAGACAGCAAAGGATTCAAGACGTCAAAACGCTCATGGATTTCTAGCTACGCAAATTCTTCCCATTTCAGATGGACGCGGAGAGCAAATTTTCGATAGATATAAGACAGAATTAGCAAAGATAAACCAACGTTTAATGAACGCGAGAGCACGCAGAAAGGAAAAGCTTGACCTTCAGTGCGTAATTTGCCGCTCAGTTTGGTGTTTAGATGGGCACGCGCCGTCGTCACCGTCTTCTTGAGAGACACACGTCAACTGGAAGTGAGGCACTTTTTCCTTTGGAATATGCATTGATGCTAACAAATTTGTATTGCTTAGTATCCGTTCTCGTATAAAGACAATTTTTTGTTTTTTGTGAGAATTAAGAAGTCCAGTTCCGGTTGACGTGCATTGGTCAAAAACGCCTTTGCTTTCCTTTTCCCATTAGTAGTTGCTCACTGTTTTGGGCTGGGTAGCATGGACGTTGTTAAGTATCCTGTTGACAGTAACAACCGGCGAGAAAGCTGGGGTATTTCCGCGTAGATAATTGCGGAAGTCTTCAATTTGTTCGATACTATACTCGTTCTTATGTTTGTTTGAAGGCTGAGAGTCTGTCTCTACAAACTGAGTAAGGTACTCTTTTCCTGCTTTTCTGATAAGTTTGAATTGATGTTGTGAAGGTTTTACTGACAATGCTTGTTCGTGAACAATAAACGGAAAAATACTTTTGAACTTATTGAATAACGAAAAGCGAAAAAAATGAAAATGGGTCTCTTTTTATCGTTTTCTACTTGTTACAGTTGAGTTTGGTTCACAAGCCAAACAAAGTAAAGATTAAGGGTTTTAAATATTCATGTTATTGCTAAGAATTTTGCTACCAAAAGAAAAAATTATTTGTTGGTGTTGGAATTATTTATATATTTTTAGCAGAGATCAGAAAAATAACTTGTAATGAATGTTATAAATGCATAATAGATACCATTATATTTATTTTTGTGTCATAGTTATTTCCTGTATGTATGTAATGAAAGAACATGTCCTGTTTTCGAAAGCTACCAACGGTGGCAGACTGTTATAAAGCTGAAGCCCAAAAAAAACCCTCTCGATCTCCTTCATTTCCTAGCATATCATGTCTGGAGTTGTTGTTGTTGTTATGATGATGATGATGATGATGATGATGATGATGATGATGATGATGATGATAGTAAGTTTGTCAGTAACTTTATGTAATCAGGGTAGCACGTTCAGCAACGAGGCCGGTATCCATAGGGGCCCTGAGAAATAAAAAGTATACTCTTTAAAACTTCCTAAGGTATATACATTATTAAAATAAACAATAATACCGCAAAAAATCTAGCTAGGTCAATATAAAAAGTGTGTGCTAAGAGGTAAGAAATTTAAAATAAATTATTATAAGGTAAAATACTCGGTTAACATCTTTTTAAAACTATTTACAGGCGTGGCACTTGAACATAATTGGGTAAAGAATTGAACTTAATAGCCCCTGCATACTTAAAAGTTCTCTTGCCCATGTTACATTTAGGCTTTGGTGGGTGCAGGTCATTGCTTCCCCTAGTTTCATGATACTGCAAATCCGCATTCCTTGTAAAATATTGCGTAAGATACTTGGGTACTAGATTATTTAAACACTTAAAAACTAGAATGCATTTATGCATTTTTCTTCTGGAAGCTAGATTTAACCAGTTTAGCCATTAGAAAGTGTCATTTGAGGTGTCCTTCCGTAATATAATTCGAGCTGCATGGTTCTGTAGTCAGTATAACTCTTTGCAACACCCCTCTGAGATTTCCCACCACGCATGATGATGATGATGATGATAATTATTATTATTACTACTTCCTCAGACTTTCCTCGAGTCGACATATTTCATCTGCTCTTTCCATGGATAATAGATCCATGCTCTTTCTGAATTTTTCTTTTCCTTTCATTTAAACATTCTGAAAAGGACTAGGAACTAGTTTACCTGCCCGTTGGAGGGAACGTCATGTAAGTTGTAACGAACCTGGTGGCTGCTTCGTTCATGGCTGACTCCGATGACGAGCGAAGAAAGGTAAACTGTGTTGGATTTGCAGGTTTTTAATCTCTTTTTAAAGTCTTAGAAGCACTTTTTACTGGCTTCAGTTATTTTTATGTCGTTTTGAAGCACTTTAATTAAGAAACGGTGCTCTGAACGTTCAATAATGTTGTGCTATGTTCCACAATTTTTTTGCGAGGTATCGGGTTTCGTTGTCCTTGGATACAAGGAAATTATTGTCGCATATACACTCCTTTTGCAGTCCATTTCATATTTTGAAGTATAAGTGTAGTAAGTTAACACCTTCTGAGTGAAGGAAAGGTACCATCTTAAAAAAAATCGATAATTTTTCTTCCTTTGCAAAAATACCAACGTGAAGTACATGTTAATTTACTAGATCACGTTGGCGCTTTTGCGGTAATTCAAAATTTACAGAACAGGTGCATTGAATAACGTGCTTATGCTTTCTCGTTTGCACCGAATTCTGGAACAAAAGTCTAAGATTGCCCGGTAGAAATGAGATAGACCGAGTAGGGACAAAAAATTTAACGAAAAGTGATATGAGAACTTCCCATTTTTACAAATCAATTCCTTCTGTGAAAACACATTTACGTAATTTACAGGTTTTTAATCAGTACCTTTGTGATTTTCTCTGTTGTGAAGAAAGGTTTCAGGTAGAAAAAATGAATTGCAAGACTGTCCTGTTGTTAACATTGCTGTGTACTTAAAAGTGAAATTTATGGAAATGTGCCAATTAAACAGTTGTAAAATCAGCATGACCCTGTCCCATGTTTATGACCAACTTGCCTGACCAACTGTTCAATGTGAGCAACAAACACACACAGAGTTGTTTTAAAGTGGCCAGATTAGCTGGCCACTGAAATATTCCCCAACAAATCCTGCTATGACAGTCCACAGTCACGAACACTGGATCAGTTCTGCTACCACAGTAGCACTTGTAATCATCACTTGTCTAATTCACAATCAGAGACTGCATTGTAGTAGCAGGTGATTTCAAAACTTAAAAAGTAACTTAACCCAAAGACGGGACCGCGGACCAGGGTTTTTCGGTAAAGCACCTAAGTTGCTCGGTATTCTGAAGTTGCTTCTTTATTATACTACATTGAGTGATGAAATTTTTCTTTCTAGCTTGTTGTTAACCAACCCTATGATGAAGCTCTTGAAGTAAATGACGAAGAGGACGTTGCCAGCACATTTACCCCTAGTCCAAGACCTCCTGGACCTAAAACTGTTGGAGGTTACAATCCAGGTAGAAGGATGGTGTACTTGTAGGATGTTGCTTTGCTGTTAAAAGAACTTTGCTTACTGATACTTTGTCCTGACCTTTTTCTTGTTAACTTTTTTGGATTTTTTAGTTTATAATATGATTGCTTGCATTAAATATTATCATTTTTTTTAATGTGTGGCACCTGTATAAGTACATAATTTTGATTAAAAATTTTTGCGTGTTTATAGCGATTGGATCCATCTCCATGAATGACCAAAGTGACGATGAGTTTGATCATGATGACTTAGTTGAAAGCAAGGTTAGTATAATCTGGCGTTAGGGTAAAAATCCCATGCTGCCTCATTCCATTTTTCCTGTATCCCTGGACTGTGGTACATGTGGGATACTATTCAGCTTTATTTCAGCCTCTTGTTGTCCGCATGGGGTAAAGTACTAAATTATGTTGAATCTTGAGAAGTACCGGTAGTAAATTTTGTTTTTCTGTACATGAGCCTTAGGCTTTCCTAAAACTCTAGCAAGCGTGACTCGTATGAACACTTTACAAACCTGTCCGTCAGTACGAGACATGAACATAATGTTTATTCTATGTATTCACACATTATCTTCCTTTACACTTGTATCTGTAGGATGCCCCTGGAGGTTATGCCCGGCCACAAGAACCAGGGGGCAAAGAACGACCTGGGAGACCAACCGGCCAAGAAGTGCTGAGCAAACAAACAAATGATGATGATGACGATGATGAAGGAGATGATCAGAGTGACAGCACGGAGGATGACGATGATGATGAAGATACCCATGGAACTGCTCTAGAGGGGTACAGCATTTTTTAATGAATCAATCTACCACCATTTTATGATCTTTATTAGATACAAGCTCCTGTTAGCAGACACCCAGGCAGATACCTTCCCATTTGTTCACAAAGACACAAAGCCCTACACAATCTCTACCTCTAGTTAATTGACACCTCTGTAACACAGACACCTAACACTTTACCGTTATTACAGGAAGGATTGATTGTGTGGTTAATTGCAACCAGTCCAGGTTTCTATACGTTAAATGCATTGTTTTATTCTCTCAGGGCCTATGATCCAGCTGATTATGAACACCTTCACGTCAGCCAAGAAATTAAAGAGCTTTTCCAGTACATTACGAGGTACGTAGTTATTAATTTTGCTGTTCAAGTGATTTCTGTGGAGATGATAATAATATTTGCATCATCTTTGTTCTTGTATAACTCCTAAGGTATACACCTCAATCAATTGATTTGGAGCACAAGTTAAAGCCATTTAATCCAGATTTTATTCCTGCAGTTGGAGATATTGATGCATTCTTGAAGGTATTAGTTTTTTTCATATGGTAGAATTGAAGAGGTTAAAATCTAATTTTTTTAGTGTTTACATACATGTAGTACATTAGAAAGATATTATCATTATTATTAATTATTATTATTATCACTCAATGTTTTTTCTCGTTAATTTTTTTGTATAGCTCTTTGAACTGAATCTGTGAATCAGCTCACTTACCATGTTTCAGCTAATTTTCGTGGGGACATTGATTGACCAGTTATTATTTTGTTATCAATGCCTAACCTTCATTCATCAGTTGATACAAGATCCCATTTGGAAAATACCACACTCAGAAACCCTACATTGAATTTTCCCACAAAAATGATATACCAATACTGTATCCTCCATCTTAACATCAGCACTGCACTGATGAGGCCCAGAAGACCAAAACAGTACTGTCTGTAGTTAGTTATATTATATAAAGTATATATCTAATGATGGTGTTTTGTTCACTTTGTCAGGTAACTCGTCCAGATGGTAAACCTGAGACGTTAGGTTTGGTTGTACTGGATGAACCCATTGCAAAGCAATCAGATCCCACAGGTACTGTGAGAAAGCAGAAAGCTATTCATGCATAATTGAAAACGTTTCTTTTTGAAAAGGTATATGACATTTAGTTTCGTCATATTTGATTTTGTTGTTGATTTTGATTTTGTTTTGTTTTTGTTTTTGTTTTTTTGTTTGTTTTTTGTTTTTTTCTTTCCTTTTTAAGATGTGTACAGTAGGGTTATATGTGAGCTTGTACTTAATGATATTCTTATGTCCTTTTTTACATTGTACAGCGCTTAGAACAGCGATGTATAAGCGCTATATAAATTCCATTATTATTATTATTATTATTATTATTATTATTATTATTATAATTATAATTATTTCACAATGACGTTACTTACAAAGCAAACTCAAAACCTATTGGCATTATCTCAACTCACTTGAAGCACTCACTCTTGAAAAATTTTCACTGATTTCTGGGGTGCAATGAAAGTCAGTTGTAGCATATAACAGCCCAAAAAAGAAATTTAATTCTGACAGGCAGTATTGAGAATTCATTAATTCCTATTTGTCAGTTATTTTATTGCCAGCTTTTCATTCGTTGTAATAATGGCTGTAATAACTTTACTTCATCTGATCAGCTTGAAAAACAGCTTTGAACCACATGAATTTATTATGAATTTAAACAATTTGTAGTATTTTACTTAATCTGCAATTTGATTTTCCATAGCCTAGTCACAAAATCCAATAAGTAGCCCAAGGCTATCAGACACACACAGTGTCACCTCACGTGCAGGCATTTTATCCCCTCGTGTGAGGAAGAGGGAAATACAACTCTACACATGGTGCCTTGGACTGCAGAATGTGCAGTTGTTTATTGTAATAACTAGAAAGTGTAGTCCTTTTTTTGCATTTTAAAAGTGTTTACTCTTAACTGTATATAATACCTCTTTTCTTTCAGTTCTGGATCTGACGATCAGAACCATCTCAAAGCAGACCAATGTGAAAGCTATGGTATGAAAATTAATATTAAATAACTATATTATTGAGTGATTTTTTAAAAGGAATTAAGTTATTGAACTCATGAAAACAATTTCTTGATTTCATTATCATATAATGTACAAAATGTATCTGCTCACATTATAGACAGTACGCAGCATTGAAGACCCAGAAAAGAACCCTAAAGCTGTGGATAACTGGATTGACAGTATCAGGTGTGATCATAATTATATGTAAATTATACTAATCTATCCCATAAATTGATTACCATATGAAAACAGTAGAGGTCAATCCTATTATATTATATTATTCTATGTTATGTAATGTTATGTTATGTTATGTTTGTTACGTTATGTTTGTCATGTTTGTTATGTAATGTTACGTTATGTTTGTTATGTTATGTTCTGTTATGTTTGTTATGTATTATGTTATGTTATGTTAACTTGAAACAGAACCATGACTCTTTCAGTTATTCACCCATTCTAATAGTTTCGTGAGTCTTCTCTTCTGAAGTGAAGCGAGCACACTTTTGTTCTTTTAACTCCATGATAGTAACATGCCTCCATTCGCCACGCCGAATAGCTTGAATCTATTTCTTTCTTCGTAAAGAACCTTGTCAAAGCAAAGATAATCAACTTTCGTCTCTGCTGGAGTTAAATCTCCTCTTTGATGGCTCTTAAGCACGTAACAACTCGAAGGAAACCATATTGATCAACTGAATTGCTAAGACGCGCAGTCAAAGCAAAACTATCGAGACCTCACTAGCCTCGCTTTCGCGCAACTAGACCTGGGCCGACCAAGAGATCCGCCATATTTGCATTCGGTGTATGTTATGTTATGATATTATTCATTCAAAATATTTCCCCAATTCTGATTGGCTAAAAGCACGCATAATTCACCATAACCAGTTTCTGATGACCAAATTTGGCAGAATTTTGTGTTTGACCAGGAAATGATGTCAAAAATGCAGTGTTTGTGCAGGTTAAGGCACCGTTAACCGAGAAGACCTGGCGATTGAGAAATGGCGGACGTTTCACTCGTTTCAAGAGTAAGAACTAGGCAAAAAAATAACTAAAAACATGGTAAGAACAGCAAGAAGACAACTCGAAGGGCAACATCTGCTATTTGGAGAATATTTGCGGAGCTGGCAAACCTAAATGTGCACTATCGAAGATGAACTCAACATCGATGGATCGACGGAGTTAAGCATGTTTTAGCCATGTTTTTATCTCAGAGGGTGTTATCCGCCTCGGCCTCTGGCCTCGACGGATAACACCCTCCTCGATCTCCATAATTCTTCATAAGATACTCAGCCTCATTCATTAATTGTTAATTATGTTATGTTATGTTATATTATATTATTGTAAATTGTAGTTAATGATTAGTAAATTGTAAAACCTATATTTTAATGAAATAATGTACTGCATGTAATTACAAATAAAAATTATGATATATTTCACAGGTGACACATAACCATTTTAGTTTATGCACTGTTTATTAATTTTTGGATTGTTTGCAGAGAACTTCATCGGCAAAAACCTGCTCCTACAGTTCATTATCAGAGGTGAGGAGTTTTTAACTAAAAGCAGAGATTTTGTTTAAGATTACTTTTATTTTGCAGTTAATTTTACAGGACTTGAATAAAATAATACTGGGCTTAAAAGGTCTTTGGGTAAATGGAACTGTGGGTGGTATGTGGTGGTTAAATATTAACTTCTCTCAGCCTGGGTGAAACAAATTGCATTCTTCACAAGCTAGTCTCTAGGACTACCACTGGATTTCTGCATTAAAACTTGGCAGCTCAGATACATGTGTATGTACAGGAATGTGTGTATAGTCTTGAACAAGTGCATGCTGACAGAGCACTTCACATCTGTAGTATCTTCCAGTAGTCCTAGACTTAAAAAAAAGTCCTTACTCCTATTTAATATCATGGCCTTGCTTGGCTGCCTCGTGGCCCAAAAAGCTCTTTCCGCTCACTTTGCAGCTTTTCTGCTTCAAAAATTCTTTTTGTGCTTCGATCCACTTTAAAAAGTAAGGGAAGAGTAAATGCAAATCAATTTAGCTAATAACTTCAGCAAGGTTGCTAAATGAAATGTATGCCCATAATAGGGCTTTATAAACATGGTTTTTTCATTCTCTTTTAACAGAAACATGCCAGATATTGAATTTCTTATGCAGGAGTGGCCAGCAGAATTTGAAGAACTTTTGAATCAGGTAGTTACTAGTAGCTTCATCCTTCAGAGTGAGATTTCCCTACAATCTGCCGGCGAAAATTGACTTTGTGCAGAAGAAACATGATCCAATTCCCATCCAGGGTTAAAAGCTTTACTGAAGTTCTTTTCATCTATAATAGGTTGGGCTTCCAACAGCTGATCTGGATGTCGAGTTAAATCAGTATGTTGACTTGGTCTGTGGTAAGTTGTAATCATGCATTTGAGGGGTACTAGGGATTGGGGCAACCTTAGTCTAGCTATCACAAATTAGGATTCCAATATCGAACTACTTATATCATTTACCCAGACCAGGGCCAGTGGAGAAGGGGAAGACTCCCCTATGTAATGGCCAGTGCCATAGGGTATGTTTTTTATTTTACTCATGAAGGTATCACCTTAAATTAGTTACAAATGACATCATATTATTGGAGTATGGTCTCTTTTATAGTTCACATAAACCTTACCTACACCCAGATTGGTGACTCTCTTTTAGGGCTTAACTCTAATGTTATTTTTGGACAACCATTCCCATCATTTTCATAGGAGAGTTCCCCCAGATCTGAACTGGGGTATAGATTTTAACTATTTTAAACTGAAATAGGGCAAGTCTTAGTGCTCTCTGGAACCACGGTCTGTAATTCAGTATAGGTATTGAAAACAGCAGTTTAGGTCTGAAGTAGGGTAGGGAAAGGCAGATACGTTGGTCTGAAATGGGGTAAAGGTTTCATCGAGTATTCCCACCTCAAAGGTGGCATGGGTGGCTAAAAACATCTAACTCTTAGCACGTGTTGGTGATATGACAAACTTGAATCAACTGTCCAAGTAAAATAATAAAACATTAAGTCAACATTATTAAATAGACAAATAAATTAGCAAGGCAATGTCATTCATTTTAAGAAACATCAAGACTAACATCTCATATGAATTATTTCAGATAAGAAGCCAGTGGACAAAGATTAATGTTCAACTGAATTGTTTCTCATTTGAATTCTTTTTGACAGGTATCCTCGACATCCCTGTACATAGCAACAGAATCCATGCACTTCATGTGCTGTTCACACTATTCTCAGAATTCAAGAACTCACAGGTATCATAATAATCCGTAAATTTCAATGACAGTCAAGCCTTACTTTTCTATGACTTCAGATTCACGTTTATTTATTTTTTTGTATCTTTTTTCCCTTCACCAGCATTTTAATCAACTTGCCAAAGACAACCAACTGTCAAATGACCTGCAACTGGATGGTGGCAACGACGATCTGAATATTGGAGGTGTGGCAGCTGCTACAGAGCACATGACTCTTAGTGGTGGAGAGGCACAGACAATGAGCTTTGATGACTAAAACATTTGGACCATTGTACCTTTGCTGTCACATGTCAAGTGAAAAGTTGCTGTCATGCAGTGTAGAATGCATATCACTCTAAAAATGTCTTCAAATAGCCTTCTGTTATTTTGTGGTACTTGTAATTTATTGTTGAGAGCTATAAGGTTGTGTCATGGTTGTTGCTGTTAGGTACATGTAATTCCATCTTCTGAGTACCAACTGGTTTTCAAGCATATTATTTTTTATTTACCGGTATTGAAAAAAAAAATGTGGATAGAACTCTCTGACACAGGTATCGGTGTGTGACTGGTGCAGCTATTGTAATGCATCTAAAGCAAATCCAACATGTCAGTGATTTTACTTTGGTTAATAATTTTTTAGCCTGCTTGAAAATTGAGTTTGGCATGGCAGACTTGTATGTGGAGCTTACAAAGTGCCAATATCAACCAGTAGCAAATTTCTAACGTAGCCACCTGCATCTTATATTCATTACTATTTATTGAAGTGCAGATTAGCTGTACTATATGATAACATTGTAAATAAAAAAAGTACTGTACAGTGTGAATGACTTTAATTGTGTATGTACATGTCCTTCGCTCACTCCTGGTGTTTATAGCCTGAACATGTGATCTTCTATCTTGGCAAGTAAATACAGTATCTCCTATTAATTTCAGTCAACTATTTAAGGCCCGGTATTAGAAATCATTCTAGATTTCTAGTGGATTCAAGCCAAACTCCAGCAGAAGCTGTTTGTTTCTCTCTTGAATCTCAGATGACTCCGTCTCCCATCTTGTTCTGGCATCCTCAACCTTCTGTGCCATTCTATCGAAAGCATCCTAAGCGAAAAATACAAGTAGTCACAAAAGTTTCACCTTCTACAAATGTTAAACACCAGTTAGATTGTCATATCCATGACAATAGTGATAGTACGATCTTTTGGGTAGTAGGGATACGTTGTGCTAGAGCTGAGCAAGCATCTCTTGCCATTTTAACTCACGCATTCAAAGCCATGAGTAGTTCACTAAATTAGTGAATTTAGAGGGCCCAGGAAGTAGGAAGATGTGTTCATTATGTAACAGTGGTACATTGCATTAGGGTCTTAATAACAATAATACTGTGAAGTTATGAATATATGAAAATCATATATGTGAACTGGGGAGTGAAGAATTATAATGAAGGAAGATCATTGCAGTTATATACACAACTTTTGCAGTTGCAAAAAGAAAGCCTGAGAAAAATTCAGGCTTGTACGTGATTCGAACCCTTGACCTCTGCGATAGCGGTGCAGCACTCTACCAATTTACGCAACGGCAAAAGTTGGGTATATAATTGCAATATAACTGTAAAGTTCTTAGCTTGTTCCAGGCTCTCAGATAGAAGAGATGACACGTAAGTCAAAGGCACATGAAAATAATAGCACATGATCACACGTTCCTCTCATTTTATTTTTGTGTTCGCTCTTCCTCAATTTCGTGGACTTGACTATCTGAGAGCCTGGAACAGGCTAACTGCAACTGGGGCAAAGACTATATGTATCTTTTTGTTATATTAGGCCTCATCCTATTAGGGACAGGGTAATGACCCTTGTGTATGATTATGTCAGATGAGCAAATTTCACCACCAAGCCTTGTTTGCAAGGAAAATTCTCTGCTTTTGCACTCTGTGCGTGGATATTTTTTCCAAATTTACTGCCTCGGGAATTCTTTTATGCAAAACTTCGCAACTTTACAATTTCAAAATGAGGCTTGGAGGTGAAATTTGGTCATTTGACATAAACATGAATAAGAGCTATTATGCTGGAACCACCTATCATATGCACATGTATACTCACATGAAGCACACTTTCATATGCTGATTCCATATGATCTATTTTAAACTGTAGTTCTGCTATTATTTCATCCTTTTCTTTCCTAATGTCATCTCTTTCCTTTCTAGTCTTTCTAAGTTCCTCTTCTGTTGAAGCTACATTTTATAAATGAAGAAAAATATCACAACTTGTTATACACATGAAAAACTACACCTGTTGTTGATTTAAACTTTTGTTTACGGTACAAAAGGGTGCCTTTAGTGTCCCGGGGACTTCTGCTATTGAAAATTGATAGATTTTTTTCCCTCATTGCCATGTATTATTCGCTATGAAACAAACAGACAAATTGACAAATTGATTAAGAGTACGTAGGACCTATTGCTATAATACACCCTTTCAATCTGAGCCACAATGAAAGCAACAGAGTGAGATCTTGGTTACTGTAATTGCATTCTCATACATACCATCTTTCTTACACCTCATTGAACCCACATTCCTGTACCTTAGTTAACATTTCCTTCAATAGATGCTCCCATACACTCAAGAGTGTTTGTGCACAAATATTACAGGTAAACTGCATTTTCATACCCTGGCTCCAGCGGTCCATTCCCAGGCACCCAATTACAAGTGTTGTTTTCACTATAAAAGCCCAGTCATTAAGTCCCAAATATTGAGGAAACACCTACCAAGTTGCTCTCGGAGTTTATTGACTGTCTGTTCCAACATGTGAATCCTTAATGCCATCTCTGACTGCATTGTTTTGTATTGACGAGTAAGATCTGTATTATATACAGGTACATCAGTAAAAGAAAAGAATATTTTAGCTGGAGGTTTTGTCTGGTGGGCCCGCAAATGAGGTGAGAAGCTGCAAAAACATGCATTTCACCTCACTTTACTTCGCAGCTTCCCTCACTGATGGCTGTAGCCCCACTCCAGTGAAATTATGAGCAACCAATGACTGAGGACATGTAAGGGTAAAATTCTGACAAGCCTCATGGCCTTGAAATAGTGACATAAGACTAGATGGATGAAATGGTGACAAAAGGCATAAAAATGGGCTGAATACCGACAGGGGCATGGCCTATTCCTAAAAACACAAAACAACCATATTTTACATTAAGACGGGGGACATATGAAGCTCCCCCCTCCCTGCCCACCTATTAAAGAAGGCCTCATCATTTAGTCTGAAATGTTAGCCATCTCCACCCCAAAGCCCTAGGAGGGGGCAGGGGCATGGGAGAGAGAGACTATCAAGGATGGAGAAGGCTGGCATTTCAGATTATCAGTCTTAATGAATATTGCACTTACCGATAAGACAATAACAAAATGAACGTTATTAATAATGAAGAAAAATAATTATATCATATGAAAGAAGGAACATAGCAAACATGCCTGAAGAAATGTCCAACTTGTTTTGCTGTTCTGTCTCTACTTCGTCCTTAGCCTCCCTCATCCTTTCCTTCATGCGATCTGCGGTGTCTTTAGACCTTCGTGCGATCTCCGTTCTTGCAGCTGCAAGACGTTTTACAAGTGTAACATAACAAACTTCGATCAATCTGCAGCTTTTCACAAGTTATAAAATTACATGAATGAAAGGCAAGCATGATTTGAAGATCTTAATTTTAAAAAACCTACCCAGCTCGTCCTTAAGGACTTCTATTTCCTGCATAGTTCTTTTGTACTTATCTTCGATCGTCAATTCAGTTTTTTCTGCACAGAAACAACAAACAAAACAACTCAAAGTTTCCTTGCACGTCAAAAACATTCTTGACAAAAAATAACGAGAAAACGATCAACCCAGTCATACCATCCTTCTTCTTCTTTTTCTTTCCCTTCCCCTTTTTCTTCTTTGGCGGCATTTTCACGATTTAAAGAAATTAAAGACCAAGTATTCTGTCAAGAATGTGTTGTTAGGACGCCATCTTGGTTTCTTCTTTTCGGTGTCGATTTCCCAGCGGTATCCTTTGAGATCATGCGCATCTCAATCTTCCTTTCGTCCAAAATCCAAGATGGCGTCGTTACGAGTCTTGGTTGGGGTTAAACGTGTCATAGATTACGCCGTTAAGGTTTGTGGTGATCGAGAAACTGGTGCATAATACATAATCTTAATGAATGATATTTCTAAATTCTTATTTTCTCCTTGAAGATACGCGTGAAACCGGATAAGAGTGGCGTGGTTACTGATGGAGTCAAGCATAGCATGAACCCTTTTGATGAAATAGCGGTGGAAGAGGTCGGGCGAATATTTTTAATTTTTCTGAAATGACTGTGTCTTACAGAAAGCAGTTAAATCTTTTAAGTACGCCTAGAATTTTTTATTTCTTTCATAACTACGAATGTCGAGAAAAGTCTTTTCAGTTTAATATGTAGTGGAAGTAAGTTTACAAATTCGTCACTGGTCTTTAAGAGTTACACTGATGTTTGTCTTTCATCTCAATGAGGGTATGCTATGTGGACAAAAAGATGTTAAGAACCCTCCACCCCAGCACAAATCCTCTGGGATTTTCAGCTATGTTTTGTTGTTTGTGTCCTTTAAAATGCTATTCCTTAGAGACCACCCTTCTTCTTTCAATGACGTAATGAAAGAGGTGGTTACACCCCTACCCCACCCCCCATCACTATATTCCCTCTTTTATAAGTAAGATGTCAAAAATATTACTCAAAAAGCTTTTTTTAAAAATTGACAGGCAGTAAGGCTCAAAGAAAAGGGAATTGCATCAGAAATTGTTGCTGTTAGCTGTGGGCCTGCTAAAAGTGAGGTAGGACTTACTTAGTCTTCAAGGCCCTCATAGAGTTTATAGAGAGATTAAGATTCACGTTTACGCCAAACGGCAAACGTGAATTTGTACCACGTGACCAAGTTTTCCCCTTATTTTTCGTTTACCGTTTATTGCTTCTACACAAAACTAAGTAGTTTTATGCCAGTTTTATCCAAAAGAATCGTTTTGGACTGTTTCTATCTGCTTATTTTCTATTTTGAGAAATTCTCAACTGACGTTTGCCGTTTGCCGTGTGCCGTAAACGTGAATCTTAATCTCTCTTATGTTTAGAGAAATGACTTTCTCCCCATGTAGGCTTTCAATTTTCATTGTTTTATTTTTCGATTGTATAACAAATTATTAATGTTATTGCATAAAAACGTCTCTCCTTCCTCACTCTCACAGCCATAATCAAAAATGATACTCAGTGTTTTCTGAACCTTATTTTGAAATAGCTTTTAGAGCATGAACAACAGTAACAAAATATTTTTAATGCGTAGACAACTCTAATACAGTCTAAACTCTCCTTACGGACACCTCCTTAATACGGACACCTCTCTATTACGGACAGTTCATTTGGTCCCAGAAATGCCAAAGAATCATACATTCCCTACCTCTATAATACGGACACCTCTGTAAAGCAGACACTTGGTTCTGTCCCTTTGGTGTCCGTATTAAAGAGGTTTGACTGTACCTTTAAAGTATTTCCTACAGTGCTTTAGAGCTTTCTTTGAAATAGCCCTTTGCCTTGGATTTTGAAGTGCTTCTGCCTTTAAGTTGTCTTTTACTGTTACTGAGGGCGATTATAATGCCTATTCTGGCAGTGAAATTTGAAAATACACAATAGACAGAGGTCTTCTTCTAATTGAAATTTGTAAATTAATATATTAACTTTTACTTCAAATGGAGGCTTAGTCTGTAATGTAAAAAATGGAACATTATCACTTATTTTCCTGTCTCACATGTGCAACTTGCAAGGCATTAATTTCAAAAAGTCTAGTGTTATTGTTAGAAAGAAAGTCAAGCATAATTAAATTCTACTCCTACACAAAATGGCGCTAAATGAGCACTGTCTTAATTCTAGTACATTGTTTTGACTAAAATTTATAGGAAACCCTCCGTACAGCCCTTGCTATGGGAGTTGATCGTGGTATTCATGTTGTGTTAAATGACAAGGAATATGAAGGCCTTCAGCCCCTTGCAGTAGCTAAGCTGTTTCAAAAGATTACAGAGCAAGAGAATCCTAATCTAATTCTCCTTGGGAAACAGGTAATGATTAGACAAAATTTACTGACCACAATTGTGAATGCTATTAGGCCCATTGCGTTTGACTTCTTTATTGGAAGAGACTTTTGTTTAAATGTTGAGCCATTGTATTTACATCTCAACCAGAGCTGTTACTAAGGATTGCAACCCATAACACCTGTTATGGCTAAGCACACTTGATGTTACGGGTGATCAAAGTGGAAAGCTAAGGGTGGCACTATAAATTTTTGCGAGATGTTACGGGTGAATCTTCAGTTGCTACAGCTGCCTAAAAACTTAATGAGTCAACCACCTCTAACTTCTTGTGTGGAACCACATGTATGAAACTTTACCATTTTGTCATGAAAGTAAGAAGGACAACTGCACTAGACATTTGTTGCATTTTGTACTTGAGGCTTCTTAGACCTGGAAAGGGTAAGAGAGTGCAGGCTAATAATAATAATGAGTCTTTATTTCACCAAAAGATAAAATTACATATCTTATGTTACAATAAGAGAAGATAAAAACTATGATAAAAATATCTACGTTATATGTATATATTAAAAAAGTGTGTCATTACAATAAATGGAGCTTAAAAATCAACCTATTTACAAAGGTGTTCATAAAACGCTCTGTATTAATTTTTGGGCGTACGCAGCCTTTTTTCCTAAGATTATGTACCTACGTCTTCTGGGCAGGAATGATATCTTTTAGTGGGTGGCAATCCGTTGATATTAATTTCTTTAAAATGTTTTGGTCTTGTTTGGCTGTCCATTTGTTGAATTTGTTTCTTGAGAGATCAGTCAAGCAACAAGCTCATTACATTTCTGAACTGGCAACTTTGGTCCTAATGTCTCCAGGATCAAGGATTGAAATGCTAGTTGCTGTCAACGTACTTTTGAACAGTACTGTAAATTCGATGTGTAGTTTTTAGTGGAAAAAGTGATCTTGTAAATAATGTTATTCCATGGACAATACAAGACCAAACGTGGTGATAATGTACATTTTGTTGTTTCAGTAAGTTCAGTCCTTAATCAATGTCAAAAACTTATTGTTTGTCAAAAGACAAATTTTAAACAGCTATTTTATGATTTCATAGATCAGTACATCCTTGCTTCCCAAGTTTTCCTTTGTACAAAGAAAGTATTTAATAGAGGAGCTCCATGTCACTGAAATGTTATGTTTGTTTTTCAGGCAATTGATGATGATTGCAATCAGACGGGTCAAATGCTGTCTGCTTTGCTTAATTGGCCGCAGGTAATTGGGTTGAAGTTTTTTAAAATAGTTAAACGTTTTTTCAATCCTCCAAGTTAAAGTTTTTGCTTGGTCACTATTTGGCAATCAACTCTTTTGGTTTAGGGAGACTTTTTTACAAATCAAGTCACCAGCTGCAAAATTTTAGGCGCCATTGGTGACCAAAATGGTTACAACGTGGAGGGTTGTATCTGGGATTTTCTTGTGTCTTTGATCACTGAGGATAATAATATTGATAATATTGTTTTGAGATAAGGGAAATAATTTACTGAAATTGAATAAGAAAGTTTGAATCACATAGAGGAGCTAATGAAGAGAGATTTGACCATATTCTTTTTATGAATATTGATGCATTTGTTTGTATATTTGTAAAAGTGGTGTATTTATTGTTTTTTACAGGCTACTTTCGCTTCCAAATTGGAGTTAAAAGACGATAAATTGGGAGTGACGCGTGAAATTGATGGTGGCCTTGAGATGATAGATGTCAAGATGCCCTGTGTTGTAACAGCTGATCTCAGGTATTTAAGAAACATATGACACTGTGAAAGGTTTGAACCCAGGAGTCATTTCAAAAGTAGGTTGAGTATGATCATCCGAGTGAACATAGTCCTCAATAGGACTGTTGTTGTTGATGGTGACTGACATTTTGACAACCTGTGCATTAGTCATCTTTAGAGTCAAAGTGATTTGTATCATGTCATTTGGTGTTATTAAACTCTGGTTGTTGACCTAATTGGTCAATTAAGTCGCCATGATTGTTATTAGTCGTCTGTCAGTTAAGCCATGATGTTATTGGTTTGAAGACTTGTAATGTCATTGGTGAGTTTCAATCCGTCTTTCGTCTCAGTTTAACAGTCTTTTATGGTCAGTTTAATTCCAAAGTAAAATTTAACTCATTCTTTCTTGAATTTCTTAAAAAAAAAACCAAACAAACAAACAGGACCAAGCAAAAGTGCTGACAAAGAGGTTTCATTTGAATGGTCACACCATAGGATTTTGTCCACAGACTTTGTGTCTTCATACACATGATTGCGGTAGTGCTCTGTATAAAAAATTCCCTATCATTTGTTAAGTCTTGAAAGCCTTTGTCCTGTTGTAAAATGGAAACAGTATGGTTTAGTGTTTGGAAAGCTAAATTTGCAATTTGGATCCTTTTCCCTAATATTTATTTCACAGTTTGACTCAAGCTTGATTACTTAATCCTGAGTTGAGTTTGTAAATAATACCAACTACAGACTTTCATAGAAAGTCCTGGAGTGTGGGCTTGTTTTTCTGTGTTTTCCACTTTCTACATTTTGCTCAATTTTTCTTCACTTATGTTTGGCTTTTGCAGATTTACATGTCCAGGGCAACTTGTTTGCCTCTAGGCTGCCCCCTGAGTTAAAATTTTTAAATGTGTTTAAAATAGGGTCATTTGCTAGTATTTGTTTCCAGGGTTGTTTATCATTTTCCCTTAAGAGCCATGGAGAGAGGAGAAGTGAAACATAAAAAAATATGTGTATTGGTAGCACCAGTATTATTTAATTTATTTATTAAATTGGGAATTCACTTTTATTGTTTATTTCTTCAGGCTGAATGAACCACGCTATGCAACTCTCCCTAACATTATGGTTTGTAACTACAATAATTATGTACATCTTCTATTTATGTATCATAAAAGTTGTAATCTAATTAGCACCCCACTATAAACAAGCTAGCATTTTTGTTTCAGTTGGGGAGAATTGCAATTAGTGCAATTAGTTGCTCAAGTGTAAATAAGTTAAATAAGAAATACCGAGCGTTGAGTGGCCTGTTTGCAAAGGCGAGGAAAGTTGGTGTCAGGGAATTCTAGGTTACAAATTAAGTCTTTCTGAGACCCGGACCTCGAAAACCGATCTTCTATTTGTTTTGGTGGACACAATTTACATTAGTTTTCTTATCTACCTTCACCATCAGATTAAAGTTCATTTAGTTGGTTTGTTGTTTTTCGTCCCCACCATACAATTGTCTGAGAAACTTTGCAACTTTGTGGAACAATATCTTTGCTTGCTTTTAATGTATCTCATTTACTAGTGTCAAGTTTCCCAATAATTCTGCAAAGGTGTTCTTTCCGGCCGTGTTGATAGATATTCGCCTCCTGGTCTTTATAAAAACTTGAAAACAACTGTTGAAGGGTCTATCACATGCTGATGTAAAAGGCCTTTTTCTGCCTTACCAATAAACAAAGTTAGTGTGAACGCTTGGTTAGGGGAGGGGTAGTTGGGGAGTGTCTGATTCAAAAGGCCTTCTTCTGCCTTTCCAATAAACTACCCCTCCGTTAAGCCAACATTTTTCCTTAAGTGAGAAGTTAGGGTTAACATTGGGTTAGGGCAGGGGTGGGTATGTTGATCCAAAAGACCTTCTGCTTTAACAATTATTTAATTGTGAAATGCATCTTTGTACTGCAGAAAGCAAAGAAGAAGAAAATTGACAAGAAGACGCCTGGTGACTTAGGTGTAGACATTTCTCCAAGAATAGAGACTCTGAGTGTTGAGGATCCACCAGTGCGGGAAGCAGGAATGAAAGTTGAAACTGTTGATGATTTGGTCACTAAGCTTAAGGACAAAGGATTCTGTTAACGAATTCACGATATATTCTGGCATGGACAATCAATGAAAATCGGCCTGCGAGCAAGCTCTCCATTTCGAGTAGCAAAGCGAGCCGCGCGAGAACGTGTCACGTCTTCTGTTGCGTGCTGCTCTCATGTAACTTGTCATGATAAGCTTTCTCGCAGGTTGATTTTAATCAATGTTAATTGATATTCTATCAATGAGCAGTAAATTGTAGGAAATTAAATTCGATTCACTTTTACCGACTGTCGTTGTTGTTTTCTGGTTGGATCTATTCTCATCGTAACAACAACTTAAAGACTTTCAGTCACTGATCGTCCATGCTGGGAATATATCAACTGCAAATATTTGGACAGGATAAACTTTCTTTATGTAAACTGTTGTAAAGACACTTGCCTCCTTTTCAGGGGATTTCTTGGTAGTTGTTTTTCATTGCCAGCAAAAGTTATTGTTAATTTAACGGCTACACAGACGACTGTTTATGTTTAAGTGGTGCTCGTTTGTTGAAGTTGTACCAGCGGAAGATTTTCCATAATAAAACAAAACACATGCATTCTATTGTTCTGCTTGCCTCGTGGGCTTTTATAGCGAAACGTCCCCTAGCGGCGATGAGCGAGGAGAAACGCCTGTTTCCCCATGCTAGGCCAGGGCTTTTATAGCCTGTGTACATCCACCCACGACCCTTAAAGGGCGGGTGTACAGAGGTCAGGCCAGTGAATATTAGTACACAATGTCAATGTATTTTGGAATTAGGATTAATTGTTGTTTGCATTGGGCCTTTTTCACCTAATGTTGTCCTCTTTATCGAGGTTGTTTTCTGCATACATAACAAATGTTTTGGTTAATTTGTAGGACCAGTATTGAATAGCCTCCTACGCAGGTGTTTTTAGGGGAGCTCATTTTTCATCCCGGGGAAGGGATGAAAAACGAGCTCCCCTAAAAACGCCTGCCTGGGAGGCTAAGTATTGGAGGGATGATTAGTTTCCGGTGCCTGGTCGATTGAGAGGAGAAAAACAGTAATTGGACACGTTCGATTTAGAATCTCTCTGTCACCAAATTTTTTACCATTTTTAACGTAATTTTATTAAACAATAATACTGAAAGGTTTCATACAACTTTTCGGACAAGGTAAGTGACGTGAAAGCGAACCGATCTTGTAATATTGGTTAAGAAGATTAATGTAAAAAGTATAGGAGAACTATTGGTAACTACAAACAAAACGTGAAGCTCTATGGCGTGGTCGCTTGGCACAGTCGTCGGGAACTCTGTCATCCCAGTAAGACAGATTGGTCATATCTGTGGCTGAAGACTGAAAATGAAAAAAGAAGCAGATATAAAAGCCGTGTTTGACATATATACCATGTTGTAAAATAACGTTGGTCAATATTCTATACAGGAAAAAATTCTGCCTTCCGCGTGACAAGAATCCAACTGGTAGCTTTCTTCCACGGGTTCCTAGTGATTGACATAAACCGTTTCAGACCGACTGGAGTTGGGGCTCTTATGTAAATGCATAATCTGTGCCCTAGCCTAGTCCCAGACTACCTGTGTATAACCGACGCAGTGTATTTTTCAAAAGCGTTTTGAAGTAAATCTTATTCAAAACGTCACTCAACAACGCGCATCATCTAAACTTCTGTTTTGATGGATGCGGAAACAAATGTAGAAATAGTTTTTACTAAAAACAAGACTTGGTACCAAGATAAACTCCAAATTTTTAAGTAGCTGAACAAGGTATTCGAAGGTCGTGGCAATGGCCAACACAAAATGGTCTTTAAACTACAGACATAAACTCATCCTACATGCCGCCAGCAAACCAAAATGAAAGCCACTTTTTAGTTTTTGTTTTCATCTACCCGACATTTCAAACTTTTCGCCCAATTCTTTCCACCCGGCCCTTTTACTCCTTTTCAAGCCAAAGACAAATTAAATTAAAGACAGTTTTTATGTACTAGCAAAATATTTTTTAAGCAGTTAAAGGCTATAGGGCATATTTTCATTGGTTCAAAGACTTCTGTTCAGTAGCTCTTAATAGTAGCAGTGACTCGTGATGAAACCATATTTTTAACGTACGGGTGACTCACCAGTCGTTCTTTGACTCTTTGTGGTAGCTCTTTTCTCGCGCTGTACACGTCCTCCCATCGGACATTCAACCGTTCTCGAATTCATGAACCTGAAAAAAAATTAAGAAACAAATTTCAAAAAGAACTCAAACTTCTTTATTACGGAAGAAGAGAGAATGCAAATTATCTCCGGTACGGAGTATAGGAGATAATGACTTTCTACGTGTTATTTCTTGGGCATGTTGGTATTATCACCCCTTATTGGTGTTAGTTAATTATCTATTGTGCTATGTAGCTATATATATTTGTTAATGTATGCTGTTTGTCACTCTCGCTCCAGTACGCTGTACCAGGCAGATAATTTTTTGTTAGGCACAAGAAGACGCAAGATGCCCCTTCCGGGACCAGATGCTCCCGATTTGCGAGAAGAAGGTTCTTCTAACGCTGGTTCTGATGGTTTTCATTCTTTAGTGCAGCAGGCTGTAGCTGATTCGATGGCTTCCGTTACCATGCAGATATCGTCTTTAATCGACTCCCGCTTCGACAACTTTAAGAAGCAGTTCACGGAGGAAAATTCTTCATCAGTTGAGGCAGCCGTTAAACGTGCGAAGCGCGCTCGTTTTGTTTTCCAGAGCAAAGGAAACGAGCAGCAGTTTGAACATGCCGAATCTGTTTTGGA